GGTCATCCTCTTCCAGCCTCTCGTACCCATCTAGCCATCCCGCTACTCTCCCGCCGGTGACAACCCTAGCCTACCACGCGCCATCATGGGCTTCTTCACCACTGGCACCGGCCGGCTCTTCGCACACGTGCTACCCTCACTTACGCAGGCGTCTAGCCATGGCCAGCGTTGGATGTCGACCTCCCGCATCCGTGTCTACGGACTGCCTGACCGACGCGGGAGGTCTTTTGCGGATTATCGTTGGATGCCCTTACTAGGGCAAGTGAACAACAGGAGAGTTGATACCCAATCAACTTGCGATTGTCCACTACAAATTAAACGTTGCTTACAAAAGCTAACCTGCTCCTTCAAAAAAGATAAGAATACTGAGTGGTGGTTCTTTTTGTCTCCATCCGGAGGAGTTGTCTTGTCCATTGCAGCACGTGAGGATTGAGAAGGGGCTGGGAAGCTTGGTATCTGAACGTAGTACTAGTAGCGAGATCGATCCTGCGGTTAGTGGCAACTTTGTTCTCTACGTACATCGTCGTCCTGAATTATTCATTCCTGCATGATAATGGAAGCGACACGATCGATGTACTGCCAACAATTCGCTTACTTTCTCCTTTCATCTATATAGGACCTAATGCGTTTTTTAAGACCGTCTTTAACTTTTGACAAGATTAATAGTATATGAAATGTATAATGTGAAAATTATATCATTGGAAGCTTCTTTCACATACGAATTTGATCGTATGCTTTGTGTAAGTTGCATGTCATATATTATTGCTCTAACATTTGGTCAAAGTTAGCATCAGAACACGCATTAGGCCCTATATAGATGGAAGGAGGGAGTACATGCATATGCATGCATGAGTTGCGTTCATCAATCCCGGCTCCCACACGACCACATGCTAGCTAGTTGAATGGATCTTTTCAAATCACTGCAGCCATAATATAAGCGAAGTGAACTGTTTGATAAGTCCGATGTGCACACCTACTAAACAGTACTCTCTTTGTGATCAAGAAATCTTGTACTCCCTCCATTCCATAATATAGTGCGTCCGCGTTTCCCGAGATCCATGTTTATTTGTACGTTTCTATTTTTTTTTTCTGCTTTAGTTTTTCTTTTAATTCCATGTTTTATTTTTTATATGGTTTTTTATTATCTTTTGTTTTTACTCGGTGAACGAATTCTAAGATTTGAACATTTTTAATCTGTATACTTTTCACACAATGATCAATTTTTAAAATCATGAAACATTTTCCAAAATCAAAGATTTAAAAACATTGAACATTTGAAATCTGAACCATTTTACAATTTTTATATCTGAACCTGTTTTGAAATCATGAACAATTTTTAAAAACTAAACATTATTTAATCATGAAATTTTTAAATCTGAACCTTAAGAAAATAAGGAACACATTTAAAATATTCTAACTTTATAAAAACCATGAACATTTTTTATACAAAATAAAAAGAAAACAAACACCTTTCCTAACGTCAAAACGATTCTACCGTGTCAGCTGGGCCAAAAAATGAAGGGAAAACAAGCTTTTACCATGTATTGGGCCTGCCCATGCGGAATCCTACCGTGACTGTGAGCGAGCGGTCCCTCGTGCTCGGTTCAATACATAGGGGATCCTCAAAAAAAGAAAAAACGGTTCAATACATAGGGCGACCCCCCGCGCCGCCGCCGCCACCCGTCTCCTCCCTCCGGGCGCTCACAGCAACGATGATCGGTGCGGCGGTCATGAGTGAAGGCTCCGAAGGGGAGGAGGTCTTCATCGACGACGAGGACATCATCAATGAGATACCCCTGGACGAGGAAGGTCAATACTGCCTATACAAGTACCATGTCATACACAGAAACAGCTTGTAGTCCTCCATAGTTCTGCTTGCTCCGTGCTTAATTTTTCCTTGCTCAGATCTCCCCGACCAAGACGATGATGACGAGCAGGACGAGGACATGATGGGTATGTGCCTTTTTTGTTATTACCTCCGAACCATAAAAAGTGCCGGAGAAAACAACCAGTTCACGTAGTACAATTTAGACCTACAGCCCCGACACTTTTTGTGGATCGGAGGGAGTATCTTTCATCTGTTTTAGTATAGCTGTACTGGCACTTCTTACATGGTTAACTGTTATGTTTGTGTCCGCACTTACTTGAGAGCGATGATCTTAACGGAATAAGATACTGTCTTGTACTAGTGATGAGTGAACATTGCCTTCTAAACTGAATTTTCTTGCATATGAGCTCAGGCTTCTAGGGTACCTTTTTTATTATTTATTTATTTGTTTGTTTTATATAAACCTTGGCACCATGCTATTCGTTATCTGGTTGGTTGTTCATTTTACATGCAGTACACTTTGGACAATCTCAAGTTCTTTACCCTCTGACAGTATAATGTGCTAGTAATTCAAGTGCCCTTTAATTTATTTTGTTTCAGATGAGGTTGAGGATCATTCAGCATATGCGTTTCACGGGCATACAGGCAAGATCTCGTTGAACGAACTAGCTTACAATGTCTTGTGACTATGATTTATTGTTTGCACTTGTACGTTTGATACACCATGCAATTTGTCGTCTTTTGTATCATCCGCTTCCAGAGTACCTTTGCATTGAAAATCACATATATCAATAGCTGCTCTTGATATTTTGGGTACAGATGAGGTATTTGCTGTTGCGTGCAGTCCTGTAGATGCATCACTTGTTGTTTCTGGAGGTAAAGATGACAGAGGGTTTCTTTGGAGGATTGGATCTGCAGAGGATGTTCAAGAGCTGCCTGGTATGCTTGACTCGTTTTCTTAGTCTAATTGGGAATTCCTTAGTCGATCTGTTGTATGTAAATGTTTCTCAGGACTTTCCCTATGCTTATCACGTTTACTATTAGTTCTTAAATGTGCTGTTTCTATTTCTGTTAGCTATAACTCCAAATGTATTATTGATATATTGCAGCAAGTCTTCTTCTTTGTTTTTTTAGGAAAATCTTTATATTTGTGTTCCTGTTGCATCGGCTTTTGTACCTTAATCTACGGATGCATCCCTAGAATTGTCTATGAAGCTTATATAATATCTGTTGCCGATACAGGACATAACGATACTGTCAGCACTGTGGCTTTCAGTTCAGATGGGAAATTAGTGGCTTGTGGAAGTATGGATGGACAGATAAATGTATGGAATACAGCTACACGAACACTTCAGGGAACCCTTGAGGGCTCTGAATCAGGCTTTGAGGTGAGATGATGCTGATCACTTTAATCCGTTTAGCTGAACATACCCCCTAACTGTTTCAATTGCCAAATCCGTGTTTCCTGCTGTTAAACTGTATATATGATTAATTATATGCCTCTGGTTTTGTAGTGGCTTAAATGGGATCTGTGAAGTCACGTTATAATTGCTGGATCAGAGGACTTCAACATATGGATGTGGGATGCGGACACCGATGCCTTTGTGAATACATTTGCTGGCCACAGTAACACAGTGACATGTGGTGATTTTACACCTGATGGTACTGAGTAATTTTCTCTAATGCTATTTAATTTGATACTATATGTTAACGTTATGAAGCTGCCTTTTAGTATGGTATAAAATATATCACCCCAGTCTGGACTTTATTGGGTCCTGTTTTCTGGAACGTCACGCGTGAAAAATTTCACCTTATGTGACAATCTGTTTTTCGCTATCAACATATTTGTTCAGATTTCAGAGGAACTTATGGATCATGGATTCATGGTGTATGTAATATTTCTGCTGCTAACTTGTGTTCTAAGTTAATCTCAGTGAAACTAGAAGCTGATCATAAATGTAAATAACAGAATGACTTCTATGATGGTTTAACATCTTAGATCCATTTTCACCAGCTTACTTGATGTTCAGATCCCCGATGTAGCATACCCTCTTTTAGCTGATTCACATGTTTCCTTTTGAAGGTGAGCTTATTTGTAGCGGATCAGATGATGCAACACTAAGGATATGGGACCGTGAAAGTGCACACTGCAGCCATGTTGTTGGAGGTAAGTTATTGTCTATGTTGCAATTACCATATATTCATATGGTTGTTTTTCTGTGTTCTCTGTTAACCTGAATGTTATTTTCTGACTGTTTTACCCCCATCCAGGTCATGGTTTTCATACTCAAGGACTGACATGTTTAGCTATTACATGGGACTCCCAATCAATTGTTACTGGCTCTCAGGATAGTTCTGTGCACATCGTGAGCATAAAATCAGGCCAGGTGGGTGTACGTCGTGATTTTGCACTATTTTTTTAACAAAAAGGTTAATGAGTCACTCTCATACATGCTGAATGAGCTTTGAATCCTTCTCTTCCAAGTTGGCTTACAATGGAAAGTATTTGATGCAGTTTATGGCTCTACCTTTATATATTTTTTGCATTGTAGATCATGCAAAATAAATAAATTATTGATCACCTTATTTTGCTTGTAGTGATTTCTGCAGAGTTTTTGTTTTTGAGATACCGTAGGATTTGTTTTGTTAGGATAGTCGCATACTCAGTTGGTAGTTTTTAAACTTTTAGAAGCATGTGCCATTGTTTTGCATCTAACTCTGAAGGTAGGATCTGATTTGTGTGTAACAAAGTTTTGTTGGTTGATTTTGCAGGTTGTCGGTGCATTAGTTGGCCACACTAACTCCGTCGAGTGCATTGGCATCTCACCGAGGTACTGCTTTTTCGTGATACGTTCTTGGAATGAATGTTGGCGTCTGTATGATAGATCTGTTGCACAATACAATACATATGGCCTTCCTATTGACCTAGCTAGCTTCACTCCTGTTGTCTGCAGGTACAACTGGGTGGCTACAGGGAGCATTGATCAGACTCTCATCATCTGGGACCTCACTCACCAAGCAATTCGATCCGTTTGCGAGCATGATGTGGGTGTAGAAATCAGTTGACCTTTATGGTTCTCTTGTACTCCCTTTGTAAAGAAATATAAGAGCGTTTAGATCACTGAAGTAGTGATCTAAACGCTCTTCTATTTCTCTACGGAGGGAGTATTTTTATGTCGCCGTGAACTTATTGCTGTTGGTGGTGTTTGACAAGCAGGACGGTGTGACTTGCCTGGCGTGGATAGGTTCGTCGAGGTATGTAGCGTCAGGATGCATCGACGGCACGGTGCGCGTCTGGGACAGCCTCTCTGGGGAGCTGGCTCGCATACTGAGCGGGCACCGTGATGTCGTGCAGTCGCTGGCCGTCTCCGCCGATTGCAACTCCATTGTCTCGGTCTCCTCGGATAAGTCTGCCCGCGTCTTTGACATATCCATGTTCAAGTAAAAATATCGACATTGGTTTCATTGGCTTGCATGGTCAGGAAATGTAGTACTTCTTCTGTTCTTAAATATTTGTCTTTTTAGAGATTTCAAATGGACTATCACATATGTGGATGTATATAGACATATTTTAGAGTATGATTCACTCATTTTGCTTCGTATGTAGTCATTTGTTTAAATCTCTAGAAAGACAAATATTTAGGAACGGAAGGAGTACTTGTGGTCATCATGGGGATCTCGGAACTTGACACTCATCTTTGAGATGTATAGTCAGTTGTGCAAGCTGAACAAGGGTGTAATTTAAGGGACTTTGTTTAAAAAAAATAGTAAGTTCAGGGACTTAATGTTATGTTTGAAATGGCTTGGTATTTCGCTGCATTCCACGTATCTCTGCTGGAAGCAAGATAAGTTTACTACCGTTGAACACGGAACAGAACTTAAAGCATAAAGCATAAAGCGCTCCAGTCGCTTGCACACTTTTTTTTTGAAACTTTTGCTCGCACACTTTGTGCTGGATCATGTTCTTGAATGTATTCCTGATTGCGGTAGCATCGTCCGAATGGTTTATTAGCTACCGTGGGTAATCCAAAACTTATGTATATTAGAAACCTCTTGTAGACCGGAAATGCTCTTTTGATCTTGGGTGCATATGCTCCCTTTATCTAAAAAACATATTTTGAATTGGCAAAAAAATCCGGAAAAAAAAGACGCATGAACATCTCGACATTCTATGTGTGCATGTGAAATTTCTTGTGTTCACCTCGACATGCTATGTGCGCACAAAGTCGTTCCACGTAAATCCAACTTCTGTCTTGACTAGTGTAAAAAGACAGAAAATATCTCAAGGAAGACTTTTTACTTTTTAGCACCACATTTTTGTCCTTTTTATACTAGTCAAGACAGAAGTTGGATTTACGTGGAACGACTTTGTGCGCACATAGCATGTCGAGGTGAACACAAGAAATTTTTTCACATGATTTTTGAACATTTCAAAATGCGTTTAAAATATATTTCAAATGAAGGGAGCATATGATCCTGAGAGCAAAAACACCGCTCCCCAATTTTACCCTAATCCTTAAAGGTAGTAGTTTGGTTCCCCCAATTTGACATGCTTGGCAATGTTGTAGCAATAAGAAAATTTTCTAGTGTTTCTATGTGTGATTTGAGAACTTAGAGCTATGAGCAAGTTGTTTGATTCTAGGTTGCATACTCATTTGGCTCTCACTAACACTAACACAATTTGTGAAATCCTTCTGTAAGTGATTCTGCTTTATCATATAGAATGTCATATTACTTACCACATTTATACATATATTAATGTGGTAGATTGGTAACATGTTTTGTTAGTTAGTTGAAATATTGTTAATGATAAATGTTTGTTGTTTCTAGTATTTATAAGGGTGTAGAGGTTTTTGAGCTCCACATTACAAATTGCATAATGGATTCTTCGTGATTGGTTCATTTTTATACTTTAATCCGATGAAGAAAAATAAAGAATCAAAAATCGGATAAATCAAGTTGGAGAAGGATGCTGCTGAGAGACCTCTATAGGATGGTCAAAGGTCTATACAAAAAGTTTTTAGTGATTAAGGATTTAAAGAAGTTGATAATTCGAAGTTGAGAAAGGAAATAGTGGTCGATAACAAAACTTCAGTCTTACAATTGACAAAGGATGCAAACCAAAATACTTAGAGCATCTATAGCTGGGCGCCCCAAACCCGCCTCATACGCTTGTGCAGGCCGCCCGGTCACCGACCGGTCACGAAATTTCGACCTAGACGAGCGCCTCAAATGCCCGGACTCTGACTACCACCCCTCATACCCAGCCCAAATATGGGGTGGATATGGGGGCGCCCGAGCGCGTCCGCCACGTCGGACCGACGTCGGGGTCCCACGTGGAATCGCCCGGAAACCTGGTAGTCCAAAGCTCGAACCGATGTCGCCGCGTGGCGCCACTCCGGCGGGCCGCATAGTGCCTAGCCCGGCTATTTAAGCCGATCGCCGGCACCGAAACCCTATCCCTCGACAATTTTCTCCGCCCATCCACCTCTGCCGCCACCACTAGTAGTCATGCCCCCACGCCACCGGATAAGCGGCTACCCATTTCTAACGCCGAAGCGTTGGTTGCAGCTCCTTGAGCAGATCCGGGCAAGGCGCGAAGTTCGGGTCGCAGCGGGGCTACCTCCGGATGTAATGGATCCGTGGGAGGAGTTGGAGGAGGAGGAGGAGGTGCCAGAGGAGGATGCGAGGGACGCTGGGGACGCGGATCTGCAGGTGGATTAGCAAGCCATCCTCGATTCCCTGCGCTTGGAGTTGGATCCAGAGACGAGATGTCGTCACCGGCAGGAGATGGAGGTTCAGCACGCCGTGGAGGAGGAGGAGATATTCGCCTACATGGATGAGGTCGAGCAGGAGGAGGAGGAGAAGCCGGAGCCCTCCTACGCCCGTCCACCTGGCGCCCGACACGGACGTCGTGGTCATCTCCAACGACGAAGCTAGCTAGGATAGTATGTAGTATGTAGTACATATTGCATGGATCTAGGGGTTGAAATATGAAAGACTCGGATGCAGAGTAGCTCATTTGAGGCGTAACCGGTCATTATCCACGGTTACGCCTGATCGTGTCCGCAGGTGTTTGATAGGCCGGATTTGCCCATCACGGATGTAGATGCTATTATCCTGCATATGGCTTCCTTAGAGACGGACGTTTACTTAGTACAGTGATATTTTTTTCCCGATCAAATATCATTTGCCATCATATGAATCATGTTCCCCTTCATAGGCCATCCAGCTGACATTGTTTTTACATTGTTAGTATAGTGGAGCATCTGATCTTCCTCATGGAAGATCATTTTCTATCCTCAATCCTTTTACGTTTCGAAGTCCTCATGGAAGATCATTTTCTATCCTCAATACACGGAGCATCTTCTTCCACAACGAGGACCATTTGTTTTCTCAATCATGTTCCACATGGCTCCGGCTTTTTCAGTTGGGATGAACGATGTCGACCGTCCGGGCAGCACATGCAGAAGAATATTAGTATGTGCTTGGCCAAACTCCTGTCCGGTTGTCGTCCTCGAGCTTGGAGCGGCGTACACCATTGATGCGGGGTTTGCGAAGCACGAGCTAGTTCAGTGAGCCTGGCGGCGGGTGCGTGCCGGCGACGAAGAAGCGGCCGGAGGCGGCGTCCTGGCTGGCGTAGTAGACGGTGCTGGGGCTGACGTGGCTGTGCGTGCCCTCGTACGTGGTCACCACGTACGCCGGGTCGTCCCGGTCCCGCTCCACCCGCTTCTTCACGCTGCACCCTTCCGTCGAGCACCGGTAGTAGTTTCTTGGGTTGGGGCTGTTCTTGACGGACTTCTTGCCGTACTTGCGCCACTTGTAGCCGTCGTCGAGGATCTCGATCTCCGACCGAGTCCGGAACGCGATGCGCTCCGTCCGCGGCCGCTCCACCGACTCGGCGCTCCTCGCAGTCACCGCGGACGCCGAACTTGCAGCAGCCACGCCAACGGCTGGCACGGAGATGACGGGCGGGAGCGACTCCGAGAACACGCCCTCGTCGAAGAGGTACTCGGAGATGTCGAACTGCTCCGCAGGGTCGGCGGCGATCGCCGGTGCAGCGGGCGGCGTGGCGCCGAGCGCGGCGGAGAAGCTGGACGCCGGGCTGGAGGCGTTCGAGCTGACTTCCCCGTGGGAGAAGTAGGAGGACATGAAAGAGAAGTAGCAGCCGTCGCCCACCGCCTGCGCCTGCTGTTGGAAGAGCAGTGGTGCCGCTCCGACTGCCGCCATGACTGTGTTTGGCACCGGCGAGAGCGCTTCGTATTTATAAGACCCCCTAAATCGCCGCTGCTCTGCTGCTGCATGGATTGGGTTGGGGAGTGGATTTGGCGGGTGGATTTGTACTAGGAGGAGAGGCGCTGGCCGTGAGCTCTTGGGGATTTTGGGCGGCTTCCCGGTGAGCTTCGTGCTGAGAAGGTTCGGCGATGGTGAGTGGGTTGCCCGCCCGCCGCCGCAGACAAGCTCGTGCGCGCGCGCGCGTGCCACTTAGGAACAAAGACTTGAAGAAAGGTCTTCCTTGGCAACGTAGCAGTGTGTGTGGTCCATCCGATCGGACTCGATTCAAGCAATCAAAGCCGCATTCTTTCGTTTGCGTTGGGCTCAAAACCTTTTTCGAATACGGAATGCCAACAAATTCTAAATAGGTCCACGAACGCGCAATATCTACATGTATACTCCATCCCCTTCTAAATTAATTGAAGTTTTCGTATACGGAATGCCAACAAATTCTAAATAGGTCCACGACCTCGCATCTCATCTCATGCCGCCGCCTCCTCACCCCGACGGCCCCCCTCCCCCTCGCGTCGCCAGGGCCCCCCGATCCCGGGCCACCAACCCCTCCCCGCTCTTTCACCCCCAGCCACCACTGCCACCGGCAAGGGCCGCGGTGGCGGCGGGCCCTGCATGATCCAAGGCAGGTGGTCGCCATGGCAGATCCGGTGAGACTTAGGCGGCGTCTCACGCTGGGAGGCCAGGGGCGGCAGTCAGGGCGGCGTCCCTGCTACGCGGTGACGATGGGAACTTACATGATCGGCGGTGTCGCGGCCACGGGCACATGGGTGACTCCGATGGCTGCGGATCTGGCGTCCTGTCCAGATCCGTCTCGGCACGGCCTTGGCCGATCGGTGGCGCGAGGAGGACCAGTGAGGGGCGGCTGGAGGCTCCCTGCCGGCGTGCCGACGGCGGCCCTCGTCTCCACGGCGAGGCACCGTTCGGTTCCAGCCAGCTACGAGGTTGGGGGGACGCGACTTCCAGTGAAAATTGCGCTAACTACGGTCATGGCGGACGATGGCGGTGTCTATGACGTCGTTCCCTTCTCGAGGCATCGTTGTTGCAGGTCGTGGCACCCCACTTGTGATACTCCAAGGCAAACCCTAGATTTGGATCTACCGGATCCGACGATGATGGTACCTTGATGCCGTTGTCCCTCCTGAGGGCATCGTTTTG